GTCGAGATATCGAATGTCGACAGTTGGCGCGCCAGGTAGGGGGATTTTGGTGCTTCAAGGTTTCGATGAGATGGGTTTGAGATATGGACTCTCCAAGTACAAGCTACTCGGCGACTTCGGCTGTGGGGAGATCCAACCTATCCAAGTATATCTTCTGACTAGATCGGAACCATCATCGTCATCGACAACTTGGTCTATCGAGATCATCCAAGCCTCAAGCTCCGCGACATACCAAAAGATGTCAGATCGCATGATATCGAACAAGTACGCAACAAGGTAATTGGTAGATTGGTTTCTTAAATTGATCTACTAATTTCGTAGATACATCCGGCATGTATTTACAAAGGTACGCAATATTTTATATGCAATTTATCGTACCTATTCAGATCATACAGCATTGTCAGATCTATGATTTATTATGTTTACCTAGAGCATGTTTTTTATACAACATCTATTGCGCGAGTGTTTCTGATGTTAGGCCGACTACAGTCTAACACTAGGGGCTCCCTCTGTTTTCTTCTGTATAAATCATGCTTGTTTACGGTTTACATAATACCTGATATTTACATCTGCTAGTTATATCCTGATAATACTAGAAGATCCATGCAGTTTTTTGAGTACATACTCGATATTATCTGCTATATATTTTGCCTTCTAGAAAATATTTTTCAGGAACAATTGAGCACTCGAGTAGGTTGTGGTCGAGTACACTGTATTATCGAGAATAATCTCGACAAATGCAGAGTCGTCGCGCCCAACCTACCAACGAAGACCGACAACCTATCTCATAGCACCGGCCATGGCTGGACTACTCGAGAAAAGGTTGTTAATGGATAATTCCTCGCGAATGCCGTCGGCTTGATCACCCGACATGATTGCGAACGGACATCCGGATATGCTACAAGTTGGGTATGTGAGTCATGCTGGCCACATGAGATACACATGTAATAAACCAACTCTAGCGCCTCCATTGGTGTTCGAGAGATAATTCTACTCGCTCGCTGGTTCCCGAACCAGTACGTAGCAATCTCTCGCACCGCAACTTCCATTGGTGTCGAGAGATAATTCTACTCGCTCGCTGGTTCCCGAACCAGTACGTAGCAATCTCTCGCACCGCAACCTCCATTGGTGTCCGAGAGATAACTCTACACGTTCGCTAGTTCTCGAACCAGTACGTAGCAATCTCTCGCACCGCAACTTCCATTGGTGTTCGAGAGATAATTCTACTCACTCGCTGGTTCTCGAACCAGTACGTAGTAATCTCTCGCACCGAAACTTCCATTGGTGTTCGAGAGATAATTCTACTCGCTCGCTGGTCCTCGAACCAGTACGTAGCAATTTCTCGCACCGCAACTTCCATTGGTGTTCGAGAGATAATTCTACTCGCTCGCTGGTCCTCGAACCAGTACGTAGCAATCTCTCACACCGCAACTTCCATTGGTGTTCGAGAGATAACTCTACACGTTCGCTGGTCCTCGAACCAGTGCGTAGCAATCTCTCGCACCGCAACCTCCATTGGTGTTCGAGAGATAACTCTACACGTTCGCCGGTCCTCGAACCAGTGCGTAGCAATCTCTCGCACCGCAACCTCCATTGGTGTTCGAGAGATAATTCTACTCGCTCGCTGGTCCTCGAACCAGTACGTAGCAATCTCTCGCACCGCAACTTCCATTGGTGTTCGAGAGATAATTCTACTCACTCGCTAGTTCTCGAACTAGTAAAATGTAGCAATCTCTCACACCTTAACTTCAGATGGTCGAGGGACGACTACAACAATAACGCAGCGGTCCTCGCACCATGACTTCAGATGGTTGAGGAACAGTTACGACTAGTCTTCGACCGGCAGCGTAGCGGTCCTCGTACCACGACTCCAAATGATCGAGAGACACCTACTCACTAGTTCTCAACCAGTCAATCGTAGCGATCTCTCGTACATTTACTTCTAGTGGTCGAGTTTAGACTACATCTGGTTCTCGACTAGCGGTGTAGCGATTCTCCCACTACCCTGACTTCTAGTGGTCGAGTTTAAACTACACTTGGTTCTCGATCTGCGGTGTAGCGATTCTCCCACTACCTTTACCTCTAGTGGTCGAGTTTATACTACATCTGGTTCTCGACCAGCGGTGTAGCGATTCTCCCACTATTTCTACTTCTAGTGGTCGACTTGCGACTACCACCTAGTCCTCGACCAGAGGTGTAGCGATTCTTCCATTACCTCTACTCCAACAAAGTTGACATCAGATACACAAAATCGCCAAGTGTTTTACCCAGAGATCCCTTACCACAAAAGACACCTAGCGTTGAAACCTATCCTAATGTCCCTTTACGCCGTATTAATAAGGCCTCTGAGGAACCTAAGGGAACTTCGGCTGGGGACGCCCAGAGCCGATAAGGCCTTGTCGGATCCTTCAGAGACGAAAGACCATGTAAGATCTGGTCGTGTAAGAGTTCTCGCCGTGCGTATTAACCAAGCCGTGTAATCGGAAATTGGGTTTTCCAATTTCACGGCTGGGGGCTAGAATCAGTGCTTGTTCAACCGAGGCAGGTCAAAGGTCCAAGAGTCTTATCCTCCGAGAACGATTCTCCGACGACAAGGCTGGGGGCTAGGGAGAGTGTATAACTCAACAAACTGACTGATCGGAGTCGGTAAAAGAGTAGACGCTCATATACAAAACATTGGTCTGTAAGTTTAATTCATTTTCAGTTTTCCATACATATTATAACATGTCACCCTTTGAGCATTCGCTCAGGGGCTATTTGTATCTAATATTCTTTTCTGAGTATTGATTTTAGGAAAATTCTATTCGACATTATCGAAGATCGCATGTCTCTATGGTTCTACACCAAGATCGACTAAGGCGAATACGACAAATATTGACAAGGCTCCGTCGCAGATTATGCACTTTCTCGATCACTCGAGAACGGTTGATCGATCTCGACAAGGAATACGGAATGAACAAATGGTGTACCCGCCGAGATAAAATTTCTTGACTTCAATCCAAATTCTCGATTACAGCAAGACGGGAGACTAAGACGGGAGACTTAGTCGTATGCTTTGTACTTTCTTGTTTGACGTCGGAGATTGACTCAGACAAACCCTTTAGGTGTCCGCACGAGGCTGATAAAGGAAGTCTAACGTTATCTCTGAACTTATCGAGAACGGTCACGTGCGCTCGATAACAGTTCCTCCAAGGTCTGCGGTTGAGAATATGAACTCGTTTATTTGCATTGAAGTCGGGGGATACTGTCAGGGTTATGGATACCATATACCTAATAGTAGTCGACTAAATCTCGGCAGGACCCACTACATACCATGTCCTATACGGAAGCAACCTTCGGATATAGGATATAGGAGGAGTTCCGAATAAGGAAAGACGACCACCACGATCAACACACACAGAGGATCAACACCCAACACAATCGACATAGAAGCCACAACATAGAAGCCTACATACGCCAAGACACGCCGCCGGATATCGACTTCAGGGATAAACACGGCTAGTACCCTACGGTGTCTCCGGATACTGTCAGGAGAGACGAAAGCGCTATCTCTGATCTCGCCGGGCACGGATTCGAGGAGGAAGACTACCATGTTATCGACTACGAGTCAGATCTTCAGACCGCCATGTCGACAACAGTTAGATATGCTACCCCAAATATTGTACTAGTGTGATTATGGTGAATAAGAGCAATACCGGCTTTGGCCAACAGGATGTAGGGTTATTACCTGACAATTCAGGGGCCTGAACCTGTATAAAAGTCCTTGTCTCCATCTCTTTTACCTCAGTCTCGTGTATATCCTAGCACTGATGATCCCCATGCCATGCAAATACCGTAGTCGAGACATCGAACGTCGACAGATTTAATTGTAATAAACATAATTGTAATCGGATTATAGATCAGATAAATAATTTGAGAGAAAACTTTATTTGAATGAAGAGGAAAAAGGCATACATGATCTATTAAAAAAAAGGCAGGCAGGCACTACGTTGATCCTTCTCATTGAGCCATTAGAGCGCGGCCACGCGGATGTACGTCAGGACGACAAGCACGATCGAACAGCTGTGAGGCGTGTCGCGTGATACGACTAAAGCGAGAAGCCTCTTGGTTTAGATTTTACGTACCACCTAAGGACCTAAACTAAACCGGTTTTGTAAGTTAAGGATCTCATATATTGATTTTCTGGTTGAGAGACGATTTTATAGTTTGATGACAAGATGAAGGACCTCGTACGTACTTTTCCCTATCATCTAACAGAGCAGCAGCATGAGATGAACCCAGTAGATTAAAAGCCCGCATGAAATTAACTATACAGCGACCGAAACATTTCGGCCGTGTTTAGTTAAAAAATAATTCTTCAAACTTCCAACTTTTCCATCACATCAAAACTTTCCTACACACATAAATTTTCAACTTTTCCGTCACATTGTTCTAATTTCAACCAAACTTTCCAATTTTGGTGTGAAACACAGCCTTCGCTCATTGGCCGGAGAAATAAGTTCATCTGAGGTCCCTTGACTTGTCAACGAATCCGATTTTCGTCCTTCAACTGAAAAACCAGATACAACAGGTCCCTCGGCTGTCAAAACCAGTGACATAGGTCCCATAGCGGTTTGGACGGTGTTTTTATCTGACGTGGTGCTTACGTGGCAATTCGACCGTGAAAAATAACAAAACCTCTGGGACCCACATGTCAGCTTCACACATACAATAATTTCAAAAAATGGTGGGGCCCACCTGTCATTCTCAATCCCCTCCTCTTCTTCCTCCTCTCTCCCTCCCCATCTCCCCTCTCTTCATCTCTCCCCTCTAATCCCTCCTCTCGCCGGCGGAGATAAGGACGTCCTCCATTCCCACCCCCATGGGCCTACCGATGGCGGCCGCCGCCCCTCTTCTCGTTGCCCGCTGCGCCTGCCTCCGCCTCCGGATAACCCGGCGGAAGCCGCGGCAGCCGCCCGCATGTATTCAGGTTGAACGACGCGCGGGACTTGCCTAGCGCGATGGACTCGGCGGCGGCAGAGAGGCCGAGCTCCTACGCCGTCAACTTCCCACCGCTGCTGCCCGCACCCGCGCCCGCGGTCGCCGGCGCCATGGGTGTTGCCAACCACAAGAGTGTGCTGTGCATGAAGTGGAGGGAGGGGAGGTGCCACAACGGGGTAGCGTGTCGCTACGCTCATGGCGAGGAGGACCAACGAATTGTGCCGGAGATGAGAGTCGGCGGCGGGGGGACGTCCATGCATGCCCGGAGCTCGCCACCAAGGGATGGTGCAAGTTCGGGCTCAACTGCAAGTATTGCCATGGCGGCGTGTAGGATTGAGGAGCAGCGCCATGGGAGGGGGGGGGAGTCCTTCATCTTACCACGCTCGCGGAGGAAACGTCAGGTTAGAGTTAGCCAGACTGAATCCATCCGAATCATCTGGTCAGCTGTTTTGCTTCTGTTGTGGTCAGATGAACCACTGGGTTTTTGTTGCTAGATCGAGTCTACTCTAGTCATGCGTTTGATTTGATTATTCGACTCGTGAATCCATCCGAATCTGAATTCGACCAAGGACCAATACACTGTTTGTTTCTTTTTTGGTCAGATGAACCACTGCGAGTTTTCATTTGTCAGGGTCTAGGAGAACAAGATTACAAGAACTGATGAATTTGATTTTGAGGGGCGCCGCGGCTGCAGGCTCTGGGCTCTGGCTCGGCACGTTCGACGGCGCCGACACCACCGCGCGCGCACACGACGCCGCCATGCTCGCGCTCCGTGGCCGCGCCGCGTGCCTCAACTTCGCCGCTTCGCCCCTCGCCCGTGCCGCCCCCGGCCACCCTCCACAGCGCCGCCGACGTCCAGCGCTCCGTGGCGCGGGCTCTGGAGGACTTCGAGCAGCGGGAGTCGTCGTCGTCTGTGTTTCCACTCGCCATCGACATTGTCGCCGAGGACGCCATGACCGCCACATCCGAGCCGTCCGCCACGAGCGACGACGATGCCATCACCACCACCACCAGCAGCAGCACGACCGATGCCGACGAGCTGGACGCGGCTGTCGCCGCTCCGCCAAAATGAGCCATGTAGGTGCCACCTCAGCCAAAACCAGACACAATACTATCGAGGGAACTTATTTAAACGGTTTCTTAAGTTGGGGATCTGCACTGGACGACAAATAGAGGGACCCAGAGTGAACTTATTCCTTGACCGGATGAAGAGCCTAAATGCTAAGTGGGTGACAACCTATGAGGAATGGATGGCCCAATGAGGTCTCCATTGGATGTGCCTCACTTCCGGCACATCCATGTCATGGGCTGGAATTTAAAACTAAAAGGAAAAAGTACACCGAAGCGCGGGCGGCCCAGGGAGGAGCGGCGCGCGGGTGGTGGGGGGAGGAGCTGTGGCGGGCGGCGGGAGAGGGGCAGCGCGCGGGCAGCGGGAAGAGGAGCGATGCGCGGGCTGCCCCGCCGGCCACCGCTCACGAGGAGGTCCCCGGCCGCCGCCGCGCATCTGCCTTCATCATGTCCGGCTTCAAGTCCTCGCAAGCGGAGGTCACCGAGTCCACTCCGCGCCGCTTGCTCACGCCTCCCTCCAACCGGCACGCCGACTGGCGGCGGCTCCCGGACGCCGCCGTCGCCCGCGTCCTCGACCTCTTCCGCCTCGGCTACCTCTTCTCCCCGCGCTGGATCCACCTCTGGCACCGCCTACCGCTGTATCTCCACGACCGCCAGTTCACCACTCCCTCGATCCCCGCCGGCAACGTTGCCCAAGCAATCACCAACGTCCTCGAGCTCCATGTTGGCAACGGCGTCTAATTCGTACCCAAACAAGGCGGCGGCGGCGGACATGGATGCAACGAGGTAGCTGCCCCGGGTGGTGGAGGCGGCGATGGCGGACATGAAGACGCCGACGTCAGCAGCAGCGACGAGGAGTGTGACATCTGCGACGCCGCCATCCTAAACGGCGGCTATGACATCGGCCGCGTGTTCTGCTTCCGAGTAGAGACCACGCGGTGGTCCCAGATGAGCAGGTACAGCGCCGACCTCCTCCTCTCCCATCGGCCGGGTGCCACCCATTCTCTGCCGCCCGCCCGCAACTCATTCCCCCGCCACCGCCTCGCGGGCCTCGTGGGCGGCAGCCGGCGGGGGAGCCCGCGCGCCGCCCCTCTCCCGGCCGCCCGCACACCGCGCCTCCCCCGGCCGCCCGCGCGCCACCCGTCGCCGATCGCTGGCTGCCGGCCGCCGACGCCCTCCTCTCCCACCTCGCATTGCCGGCCTCGCAGTCGCAGAGAATGGAGAGAGAGAGAGATGAGGATGGGAGAGAAGAGAGGAAAAGAGAGAGAAAGGCTGACTTGCCAATACTGACATGTGGGGCCCACGTGGGTCCCACGCTGACTCAGCCACCACATAGGACAAAACCAGGGTCAAAACAACTGGAGGATATAAAGTGCATGGTTTTGTTAGTTGAAAGGTGTCCGGTATCTGGTTTTGCGGTTGGGGGACGATTTCGTAACTCGATGACAAGTTGAGGGACCTTTGGTGTACCTTTTCCAAACTAAAATAACCTCCTCTCCATGTGGATGGGTCGGATTAGGCCCACTAAAGGAATTAAAATCGACGATGCACGATGGATGATGGATATTTCATTAGGGCGAAGCTATAGCAATTTATTGGGGTTAGGAGACCCCGATGATTTCTTATGAGTCCCCTTATACTCCTTCCTATTTTATAGCTATGACCCCGGTCAAATAAAACACTAGACCCCGGTGATTGTTTCGTTAAAGCTCATTTGGTGGCAAGGAACGATACTATTATCAACTAGCAAATAGAAAATTAGTTAGCAATTGTGATTATACGTCAGTCTAGATAGATATACATATATGTTTTAGACTGGCGCTCATAAAGTGGCCCTTATTTAGGATAACCAACTAATCCTATTATTATTTCCTAATTATCATCACAATTTGGTTGAACCTGGTCTCTCAAGTTTGAATTTGACGAAATTAGAGTTCTGAAATATGAACGTTTGATTTTTCAAGTTCAATTACATGATCATGAAGCATGAGCCTGGGGAAATATAACAAAGGTAATTTTCACCATATAAGAGGTTGTTATATTCTTTTCCCAAATATAGTAACCTAGTACAATAATGATATGGTTGTAATTGAGGCCTTGTTTAGTTTCCACGTAAAATTTTTACACCATGTCACATCGCACGTTTAACACATGCATGAAGTATTAAATATAGGCTAAAAATAACTAATTGCACATATTGCGACTAATTTGCAAGACGAATCTTTTAAGCCTAATTGCTCCATGATTTGATAATGCTGTGCTGCAGTAAACTTTTTCTAATGACGGATTAATTAGGCTTAATAAATCCATCTCGCTGTTTACTGATAGATTATGTAATTAGTTTTTTTTATTAGAGCCTGATCACCCCATGTGACATCTTATATAATATCCGATGTGACACGCCAAAACTTTACACCTCTGGATCTAAACACCCTCTGATATGTAAAAGGTAACCACTACTACAACAATAGACTTAAAATTATTAGAAGCTATAGCCAATTGTTAGGATCGTTAATTAATAGTGACCTCGGTGACCATCTATCCTGGCTTCGCCCCTGATTTCATATCACTAGTCATCATCCCATCAATCCGTGCAATAAACATAGGCTGCAAGTATAAATATATATTTTGGATTTGGATACAGAGAAATTTTATAATTTTAGTTTTAGAGCATAGTTTTTAAATTTATGCTTCGTTTGTCTTTTATTTCCGGATATTATTTCGTTATTGGAAGACATACATGTTGCTTATAATTAACTAGTTGATACCCGCACTTTACCGCGGGATACGTGGTTAAATAAATGTTATTATATAAATGATAGATGTATATGTTTGAATAATGTGAAAATGGTGTCGAGATAATGATTAAACATTGCTTGCATAATGAGTTCTAAAAATACAACAAAATTGTAAATGATATGTCATATTTACATGATATTTAAAATACTTTAGACAATAATTGCTTGTGTGTGATGATGTGACATGTTAGAGTGCGCAGCCCCGCCCACCAACTTTTAAGTCGTGCTCCCCCATCATCAATTACCGATGTGGGACTAAACCCAACAATCTCCCCATCAACCCATGTGACCCCACCATGTGACATGTGGACCCCGAAGACTTGTTACCGGCCTCCTCACCAAGTGTCCCATAAAAATTGTTCTGGGTTTCAAACGTTGGGCTCTGATACCACTTATTAGAGTGCGTAGCCTGGCCCCCCAATTGTGGGCCACCCAGGTCACATTGGGCCTGCTCCACCACAGGCCCAATCGGAGCCACAACTTTAGGTCATGGGTCTACACAACCCAAAAGACTAGTCTGATAGGTGAGGACCGTCCCCTACCTTTTAAGTTGTGCTCCCTCATCATCAATTATCGATGTGAGACTAAACCCAACATGACATACTTGCATGTGATGTAAACTACTCTAAATAATAATTGCTAGTGGATGATGATGTGATTTTTATCGTCATTAATATTTGGTATGGAAACTAAACTCAACACGACATCGAATACTTCTAGTTGTTTGATTGTAGTCATTGAAAAGGGCAAACACTATTTTTGACACAAACCAAGAAATAATAAGAATAGATTATTGTGTTTGATTATCATGTGCCTTGGATTTGGCTACGTGCATCAAGTTGTCACGACGGCATCTGAGCAGGGCGTTCAAACTAAGACGTCAACAGCGGCCCAGCAGCAAGATCGACCCAAAAGGATGAAGCGGCCCAACGCACGCTTTCCGTTGAGTGAGTGGACCCAGTAGCGAAAGGCTAGGCCACTGTCAGTGAGAGAGACTAGATGGCGCATTGCTATATAGTCGGCAGGTGCGAAAGAGCGGGATACGAAATATTGTATTCAAACTGAAACCTCAAACTCAATTCCAATCTCCCTCCTTCTCCTCTGGTTCTCGTTGTCTCTGTTCTTCTTCTTCCTCAAGTCAGCTTCTTTTCCCTTCTGTTTCGAATCATAGGAGAGTTCGTTGCGACTCAAATCCGAGTTCGTGACATTTGGTATCATAGCAGCGATCCTGGAGAAGCCAAGGTACACGTCTCGTTTGCAATTGCAGGTTGAGGCCATGGAGAAACAGAACCTCGACTTCAGCAAAATTCTCGGCGACATCTAGGATTCGCTGATGTCGTTGAACAACAAGCAAGCGGAGACTCAGGCAGTCGTCGCGAAGCTGGATGCAGGAGTCGGTGGGTGGCAGCCTCAAGTGGAGTCAGCGATTCAGGATTTGTGCGACGAGGTTGGCGAACTTCGTCAGCAACTGGATTTCCTTGGCAAATCGATGCAAGCTTCGCCGACGACGCTTTCCCCTCGGGTTCCGTTGACGGATGAGGAAAGGAAGGCGCCGTTGCTGCCTACGCCGCCGACATCTTCGCATCAAGTCGCGGCGGAAGGCGGAAGCAATTGGGCCCATGGCCACGGCGCTCAACAGAATTTCCGGAGGAGGGCATCTGGAGTGGTGACCACTCTGATCCCAACTCTAGACAAGGCTACGTTTGAATCTCATTCAGTTCCTTTGCACTCGTTGGAGAATTTCAAATCTGATTCGGAGGTTGGGGAGTTTGGTTTTGAACAAGGCGGTAGACAGTATAATCATAGAGTTCCTAAACTAGATTTCCCTAAATTCTATGGCACGGACCCCCAGGATTGGAGGATGAGGTGTGAGCACTATTTTGATGTGAACAATACTTTTCCAGGGTTGTGGGTTCATGTAGCCACCATCTATTTCTATGGTAGAGCAGCATCCTGGTTGCGTTCGTCTAGGGCTCATGTGCGGTTTCCTGTTTGGGATGATTTTTGCATAGCAGTTTCCACTAAGTTTGATAGGGATCAGCATGACATGTTAATTATACAAATGGATACAATTCGACAGTCGGGAACAGTTTGGGAATACTATGAGAAATTTGACGAGTTGATGAACCAATTGCTGGCCTATGATCCTGTCATTAGCAAAAAGTATCTGGTGCATCGCTTTACTGAAGGATTGCGCCGAGAGATTAGAAATGCAGTATTGTTACAACATCCCCGCGATTTGGAATCTACTCTGGCTATTGCGTCTTTGCAAGAGGAAGTGCTGGAAGCTCCACCGGAGTCTGGAGTGAAGGACTCTAAAGGAGGAATGCACATTCGCTCTAATTCAGCATTAAAAGGGGCTTTGCCACTACCTCTACCACCAGGCAAAGGAGTTCTATCTGCAGTTGGAAAGGTTGATGACAAAAAAAGGGAATTGATGGTGGTCAACCAATTTGGGGTTCTGACAAGATGATTGCTCTAAAGGCACAAAGGCGAGCTCAGGGGTTATGTTACATTTGTGCTGAAAAATGGTCTACAACTCATAGATGTGCTAACTCTGTCCAGTTACACGCAGTTCAGGAATTATTCTCTGTTTTGGATGCAATTGGAGAGAGTTCTTTTTCTGAATCTGCTGAATTGATTACGTCTGAAGAACAAGTAGTAATGGTTGTACCAGTTCACGCAATACAAGGGGCAGAACATGTGGGTTCAATGAGGATTTTGGGTTATATCCAAGGTAAGGAGGTGCTGATACTGGTGGATTTAGGCAGCACAGCTAGTTTTCTCAGTTCCAAGGTAGCAGATCAGCTGTCAGGAGTGCAGTTAATTCCTACTATAGCACAGGTAAAGGTGGCCAATGGAGCTGTTTTGTCTTGTACAGCTGAGTTACCTGATTGTGTTTGGACGACTCAAGGGCATGTGTTTTACACCACCTTTAAGATTATGGCCTTAACTAATTATGATGCAATTCTTGGAATGGATTGGTTAATGCAGTGCAGCCCAATGTCAGTGGATTGGGTACAAAAGTCCTTGGTTATCTGCTGGCAGGGAAAATCTGTCACTCTTCAAGGAATTGTGCCAGAATTGCAACAGTGTCAAATGATATCCACTCAACAACTAAAAGAGTTCAGTGACAAGAGAGCAGTTGCTCATTTTGTTCAGTTATGTTCTTTGGAGGACAGAGGATCTTCAGAACAAATTCCTGTCAAGATTCAACACGTTCTTCAAGAATTTGTTTCTGTCTTTGATGAACCAATGGGTTTACCTCCAGCTCGATCTTTTGATCATACAATCCCTCTTGTCCCTGGTGCAGTGCCTGTTAATGTGCGCCCTTATCGGTATACACCGGCTCAAAAGAACGAGATTGAACAGCAAGTTCAGGAAATGTTGGACAAGGGTATAATTCAACCTAGTTCCAGCCCATTTTCTTCTCCTGTGCTATTGGTTAAGAAAAAATATGGGACATGGCGGTTTTGTGTGGACTACCGCCATCTAAATGATATCACTGCGAAGAATAAGCACCCATTGCCAATTATAGATGAGCTGTTGGATGAGTTGTCGGGGGCACAGTGGTTCACTAAACTTGATCTCAGGGCGGGCTACCATCAGATTCGTATGAAGATGTCGGATGAGCATAAAACAGCCTTCAAAACACATAGTAGCCACTATGAGTTTCGTGTGATACCTTTCGGCTTGACCAATGCACCTGCCACCTTTCAGGGTGTGATGAACAGCATCTTATCTCCTTTACTTCGCAGATGTGTGCTGGTACTTGTCGATGACATACTCATTTACAGTGCAACTTTGGAAGATCATGTGAACCACCTGCGACAAGTGCTCCAAATTCTGGTCAAGCATCAGCTCAAGGTAAAACAGAGTAAGTGTTCTTTTGCTGAACAACGGCTTTCCTACTTGGGGCATATCATCACTCCCAATGGTGTGTCGACTGATGACGACAAGATTTGAGTGGTCCAGAATTGGCAAATTTGTTGCTTTTCTTGGAATTAACAGGGTATTATTGCACATTTGTTCGTCACTATGGCATCTTAAGTAAACCACTTACTAATCTGCTGCAAAAGGGTCAGTTGTGCATTTGGACATCTGAAACAGAGGCAGCCTTTCAAGCATTAAAACAAGCTTTGATTACTGCTCCCGTCTTGGCCATGCCAAATTTTTCTGAACCATTTATTGTCGAGACGGATGCTTCCGATAAAGGCATTGGTGCTGTTCTTATGCAACAAAAGCATCCAGTTGCTTTTCTCAGTAAGTCTCTTGGGCCTCGCCATCAGGGCTTGTCAACATATGAAAAGGAGAGCTTGGCCATTATGCTGGCTGTTGAACATTGGCGCCCTTATCTCCAACATGCTGAATTTTTCATTCGGACTAACCATCGAAGTCTATCTTTTCTGGATGATCAGCGTCTGACCACTCCCTGGCAACACAAGGCTCTCACTAAACTACTGGGATTGCAGTACAAAATCATTTATAAGAAGGGCACTGATAATGGTGCAGCAGATGCTCTGTCTAGGTATCCTTCTTCTGCCACTTTAGAATTGTCTGCCTTGTCTGTTGCTTTGCCTGATTGGATTCAGGAGGTGGTGTCTGGTTACTCGCTTGATCCTGATGCTTGTAGCAAGGTTCAGACCCTATGCATCAGTGTTGGTGCTGTACCCAATTTTTCTCTGAAAAATGGTGTGTTATATTTCAAGGATTGTATGTGGATTGGTACCAATACAGCTGTGCAACAGAAAATTTTAGCAAACCTTCATACTGCTGCAGTGGGTGGGCATTCAGGCATTCATGTTACTTATCAAAGAGTTAAACAATTGTTTGCTTGGCCTCGACTTCGCTCCACAGTAACTCAATTTGTCAACTCGTGTGATATTTGTCAGCATGCTAAGTCTGAACATGTCAGATATCCCGGCATGTTACAGCCACTTCCAGTTCCCGAACATGCTTGGCAAATGGTATCTCTTGACTTCATTGAAGGGTTACCTCGCTCAGATTCTTTCAACTGCATATTAGTGGTGGTGGACAAATTCTCCAAATATAGTCATTTTGTACCGTTGGCTCACCCCTTTACTGCCCTTGATGTTGCAGAGGCTTATATGCAGTACATTCATAAGTTACATGGTCTTCCTCAGTCTCTCATTTCAGACAGGGATCGGATTTTTACTAGCACATTATGGACTTCCCTCTTTAAATTGGCTGGCACCCAATTAAGGATGAGTTCCTCTTATCATCCGCAAACTGACGGGCAAACTGAACGTGTGAACTAGTGCTTGGAAACTTTTCTTCGTTGTTTTGTGCACACATGTCCTTCTCATTGGAGTAAATGGCTCGCTTTGGCAGAATACTGGTACAATACATCCTTTCACTCTGCTTTGGGCACTACTCCTTTTGAGGTTCTCTATGGCCACAAACCTTGATATTTTGGGTTGACAGTTACTGCAGCTTGTCAGTCTACTGAGCTTGCTGATTGGCTTCATGAGCGGGAGAAAATGCAAACTCTGATTCGGGATCATCTCCTGCGTGCACAGACTCGGATGAAATTTCAGGCTGACAATCGTCGTTCCGAACGAGTTTTTGTTGTGGGCGATTGGGTGTATATGAAGCTGCAGCCCTTCGAACAACAGTCAGTGGTAACTCGAGTAAATCGCAAACTCTATTTCCGTTTTTATGGTCCCTTTCAGGTTTTGGAGCGGGTGGGGGAAGTGGCCTATCGCTTGGCGTTACCCTCCTCCAGCCTTATTCATCCAGTGGTGCACGTATCACAATTGAAGCAAGCTTTGGCACCAAGTGAAACAGCGTCGCCCAGGCTTCCTGTTCTTCGTCCGAAACCAGAGGCATCTCCGGTACCACTTCAAGTTATGGATCGTCGATTTGTACGCAAAGGATCCAAGATGGTGGAACAAGTGTTGATCAAGTGGTCTGGCGGTGAACCTGCCACCGTCACCTGGGAGAATGAGCAGGAGCTACGTCGTCGCTTTCCAACTACAACAACTTGGGGACAAGTTGCCACTCAAGGGGGAGGGGATGTCACGGCGGCATCTGAGCAGGGCATTCAAACTGAGACGTCAACAGCGGCCCAACAGCAAGATCGACCCAAAAGGATGTAGCGGCCCAACGCACGCTTTCCGTTGAGTGAGTGGACCCAGTAGCGAAAGGCTGGGCCACTGTCAGTGAGAGAGACTAGATGGCGCATTGCTATATAGTCGGCAGGTGCGAGAGAGCGGGATGCGAAATATTATATTCAAACTGAAACCTCAAACTCAATTCCAATCTCCCTCCTGCTCCTCTGCTTCTCGTTGTCTCTGTTCTTCTTCTTCCTCAAGTCAGCTTCCTTTCCCTTCCGTTTCGAATCACATGAGAGTTCGTTGCGACTCAAATCCGAGTTCGTGACACAAGTCATATAGAAGTTGCAAATTAACTTCCTATTATGTTGTCTTTAAGAAACATATGTAGAAGCAAATACGATCAAAGCTCATAAGACAACAAGCACCATCAAACTAAATTAATTAATTTGTTCTGGAGATGATCGTATCAAGATCGATCAGCATACGTGTTGCTTTAATTTCCAAACAGATCGATTAATTGCCAACGCAACGCAAGCTCGAGCAAAGGGAGAAGTGATCGCTTTGGCTTTCGACCATAATCTTTACGGCAAACGCCTCCATTAATTCCATACGTACAAACAGTTTAGTGACACTTGGAAAAGCAAAGCATATGCTAAAGCATATATATAGATGCTGTGATCGAATTGATAAACAGGAAAGCAATGGTCCGAGATGCATAGCACAAAAGCATGCAAGAACCGTCGTAACATGTACGCGTGGACTGTAAGCCATCCAAAGTGATCTCTGGAATCAGCAGAGTCTACAGACCTCTTCTCAACTTCATCTAGGTACGTATACATTGGTAGGATGGGCCTAGGCTTTTGGGTTTACATATTCAAGATGTTTTTTTATATAATGGATATTAAATTCGGCATTTGCTTTAATTGAAGCTACAGTCACTTATTACATATTCAAGATGTAAAGCATAAAAAATTGTTTTGACAGTTGTATGGTGTGTCGTACGAGATTACCAGAGTAGGTCATCAGCGTTCAGCGGAGGGAGGAGAGAGCCAGGCCCAAATTAAAAGATGGGTTTATGTACTTCTTAGGTTATGTCATCTTTTTCATTTTTTAATGTATTGCATATTGTATGTACCACCTATTTATTTACAATTCCTAATTAGTCTATATAGAGTAAATTATTATATATATCACACATTTTAATGTCAATTTTGGTGTAACACTATATTATCTTCGATGCCTCTTAATTGGTTAATTACACTTCCCGTCAGGCAGTAGAAATCTCTAACTTTCCTTCTGTTCATGTTTTTGCTACAAGATTTCTGTGTTCCAAATAAGACCTTAACTAATATTTACATCGCAAGTACTAGCGACATGTGTCGACAAAATAATGATATGCTTTACATCTCGAATGGATGTCGGTTAGGATACGCATCAAGTCTCAAAATCTTGTATATATGAAAACACTAAAATTTTATATGTGAAATTTGATTAAAACTGTCTTCGTTTAGTTAATTATATTTTTAACATATTTATGAATATATCATTACAAAAACAAAAATCGAACATAGGCATTGAAGAGACTATGTCAGTGTCAGTGTCAGTGTAAATTCGGGAGTATGTCATGCATACTAAAGTTTGACACTCTTAAATTTAAAACTAGAGGTTAAATTAACGTGATCTGGAATTGACGATAGATCAAACTAAATGATATGCAGCGAATTGTTGCAGGATATAGAAGCGACACTTCAATGAAATGTGTGGTGATAAAAAAAATGATACTACCTCCGTCCCACATTTCCCACATTACTGGTCGCTTTGAGTTTTTTTTTAATATTTGATCATTTGTCTTATTTAAAAAAATTAGAATTATTATTTATTTTGGTTGTGACTAGTTTTATTATCAAAAGTACTTTAAGTACGACTTATCATTTTTTATATTTGCACTAATTTTTTAAATAAAACGAATGGTCAAGCGTTGCAAGAAAAAATCAAAGCGACATCTATTATGGGACGGAGGTACGTAGTAGAGTGGTATAATACATTAATAAAACATGTATGCGAATTGAAAAAAAAATGTTTGCTTTAATCGTGATATACTGTGAGAAAAGTTGTTGAGACATAATTAGTGAGAACATTGAGAGACTAAAATGGCATCAGAGCAGATACAAGAGCAGATACAATAGCAGACTATAAGCCAGCTATAAACACATTTGGAGAAGATAACATAGGAGAGAGAAGGACAGCGGGCTACAGATTTATAGCCAGCTATAACACAGACTCCAAGATGCATGTGCGTATGACTGGTGGAACCAACTATGAATTGTGTAGTATGCGTTTAGAGCAAGTTTAATAGTATAGCCAACTACTAACACTGGTGGAGAAACCATCTTTCGTCGGTCGGCCGATTTCCACAGTAGTCCCGGATGCAATAAAAACCGGGGCTAAAGATGTTCTTTAGTCCCGGTTCAAAAGGGTAACGGGCATATTTGATCTTTAGTCCCGGTTTGTGTTACCAACCGGGACTAAAGATCATCTTTAGTCCCGGTTCGAATGCTGTCAGGGCCTGTCAGGCCCTCCCGGTATCTTTAGTCCCGGTTGATAACACCAACCGGGACTAAAGATGGTAACTTTAGTCCCGGTTGGTAATACCAACCGGGACTAAAGATCCCGGTGATCTTTAGCCCCGGTTGGTGCTACCAACCGGGACTAAAGTCCCATCCTATATATATGTCTTCTTCCTCCTCCAGCTGCCCGAGCAAGCTTCAAAATTTCTTCAAAAAAGAGGGGAGGTCATGCCAAAATTTCTATTGAATTTATTTTGGTGATTACATACAAATCGGAGGTGCCTAAAAGGTTTGCAACTTCATCCTCCAATGTTTTTTTTGTCATACTACATTTGCACCTATGTTTTGCACACTTTTTTTGTCTCCAAAATGTAGTTGTAAGTTGATGAGAGAGAAAATGTGTGTGTGGAAGAAAGAATATATAGAAATTTAGTTCATTTGCTAAACAAGGTTTTATAAAATAGTTGAGAAGGAAAACTCTAGTGAAAGTTAATCTTAAATAATAGAAAACAAACTAAAATGAAAATTAAAAGAAGTAAAACACATTAAAATTAGTTTATTACTTAACAAATAGTTTTTAAGAATTATTTGGTGTAATATTTTATGATTTTTGTATGAATAAAGATATCTTATAATTATTGTATGACTGTCATTATTGTAAGAATAATTATTTGTGTACGGTTTTTTTGACTCATGTAGATGGATCGGCAATGGATGTACGCTGACCGGCGGTCCAAAGAGTTTATTGACGGCGTGCACTATTTTTTGAGAGTGGCCGAAGCTAACAGGAAAAGGGGTTTTATTTGTTGTCCATGCAATAAGTGTAAGAATCAGAAGGAGTATTCTGCATCCAGGACTATTCATTTCCACTTGTTTGAGTCGGGGTTCATGCCAAGCTATAATTGTTGGACATCCCACGGAGAGCAAGGTGTTGAAATGGAAGAAGATGAAGTGGAAGACGACAATATTCCGGACTTTGCTCAATTTGTTGGATTTGAAGGAAATCGAACGGGCGAGGAGGAAATAGCTGCTGATGGTAACGACGTTGCGGATGATCTTGGTCAAATGTTGCAGGACGCTAGGGAGGACTGCGAAAGTGAAAAGGAGGCCCATAAATTGGACAAGATGTTGGAGGACCACAGAACTTCGTTGTACCCAGGTTGCGAGCAGGGGCACAAAAAGTTGGATACCACTCTGGAGTTGTTGCAATGGAAGGCAAAAAATGGGGTTAGTGACAAGGCATTTGGCGATTTATTGAAACTCGTCAAGAACATTCTTCCGGGGGGAAACAAATTGCCCGAGACAACGTACGAGGCTAAGAAGATAGTCTGCCCGTTAGGACTGGAAGTTCATAAGATTCACGCATGTCCGAACGATTGTATCCTATATCGCGGTGAGGAGTACGAGAACCTAGAAGCATGCCCTGTTTGCAAAGCACTACGATACAAGATTAGACGGGACGATCCAGGAGAAGTTGACGGGCAGCTAACAAAGAAGAGAATTCCTGCTAAGGTGATGTGGTATTTCCCTATAATACCACGGCTAAGGCGTTTGTTCAGGAACAAGGGGAATGCTAGAATGTTGCGATGGCACGCTGAAGAGCGTCAACAGGACGGGATGCTGAGACACCCCGCCGATGGTTCGCAGTGGCGAAACATCGACAGAAAATTTAAAGAATTTGGAAAGGACGCACGAAACATACGGTTTGGTTTGAGTACGGATGGCATGAATCCTTTTGGAGAGATGAGCAGCGGCCATAGCACTTGGCCCGTTACGATGTGTATCTACAACCTCCCCCGCTGGCTATGCATGAAGAGGAAGTACATAATGATGCCGATTATTATTCAAGGCCCCAAGCAACCTGGTAACGACATCGACGTGTACCTAAGACCACTGGTCGAGGATCTTAAACAGTTGTGGAAGAAGGAAGGTGTCCCCGTGTGGGACGAGGACAAACAGGAGGAGTTTAACCTACGAGCGCTGCTGTTCGTAACCATCAACGATTGGCCTGCACTTAGCAACCTATCCGGACAGTCCAACAAGGGGTACAAGGCTTGCACTCACTGTATGGATGAAACAGAAAGTACGTATCTTAAGCACTGTAGGAAGGTTGTATACATGGGTCATCGTCGATTCCTTGCAGCAAACCACCCGGTACGGAAGAAAGGCAAGCACTTCGAACATAAGGCCGACCACCGTACGAAGCCTAAACATCGCAGCGGGAAAACAGTGTTTGCTATGGTTAAAGATCTTAAAGTAGTGTTCGGAAAGGGGCCTGGAAGCCAGCATATAGAGAGCGAAGATGGTCACGCGGCGATGTGGAAAAAGAACTCTATATTTTGGGAGTTACCATATTGGGAATTCTTGGACGTACGCCACGCAATCGACGTGATGCACCTCACTAAGAACCTTTGCGTAAACCTTCTTGGCTTCCTAGGTGTATACGGAAAGTCGAAAGATACACTGGAAGCACGTAATGATCTGAAGCATATGGAACAACGCGGCGACCTTCACCCGGAACCAAAGGAGAAAGGAAGCCATTACTTGAGTCCAGCCAGCTACACTCTTAGCAAGGCAGAGAAGGAAAGTATGTTTGAATGCTTGGAGAGCATAAAGGTACCGTCTGGATACTCCACGAATATCAAGCGAATAATAAGCACGAAGGAGAAGAAGTTCACAAACCTAAAGTCTCATGACTGTCACGTGTTGATGACACAACTGCTACCAGTTGTAATAAGGGGTATCCTTCCAGACAATGTCCGGGCAACAATAACAAAGCTATGTGCATTCATGAACGCAATTTCGCAGAAGGTCATCGATCCGGATAGATTAGATGCCCTTCAGAATGAAGTGGTGCAATGTCTCGTCAGTTTTGAGTTGATATTTCCACCTTCATTTTTCAATATAATGACACATCTGCTTTGTCACCTTGTGAAAGAGATCCGTATTCTCGGGCCTATGTACCTACACAACATGTTTCCTTTCGAGAGGTACATGGGCGTTCTGAAGAAGTATGTTCGTAACCGTGCTCGTCCAGAGGCAAGCATCGCCAAGGGTTATGGAACAGAGGAGGTCATCGAATTTTGCGTAGAATTTATCGAAGACCTTCGCCCAATCGGGGTACCGGAATCACGCCATGAAGGGAGACTACGGGGAAAGGGAACTCTCGGAAGGAAAGCAATTATGACGGTAGACAACAATTTATTCCGTAAAGCCCATTTCACTGTTCTGCAACACTCTTCATTGGTAGCTCCTTACATCGAGGAGCACTTGGCTCTAGTTCGCGCCAGGAACATCGGTAAGTCCGATGTATGGATTACACGGCATCACATTGATACTTTCCCCGCGTGGCTACGACAACATCTCATCGGTAACGAGTCGATCAACCAACAACTTGCCTTCCTGGCGAGGGGACCGTCTGGGTCGATCGCGACATTCCAGGGATATGAGATCAATGGGTACACATTCTACACGAGAGCCCAAGACATGAAGAGCACGAACCAAAACAGCGCTGTTCGTGTCGATGCCATGGGACACGATGGAACAACTGCCACGTATTACGGTGCCATCGAGGACATATGGGAACTTGACTATGGTCCTCTCAAGGTTCCTCTGTTCCGGTGCCAATGGGTTAGGTTGACTGGTGGAGGCGTAATGATTGATGACAGTGGGATGACAACTGTTGACCTTAACAAGGTTGGATACTCGGACGAACCTTTTGTCCTTGCCAATGATGTAACGCAAGTCTTTTTCGTGAAGGACATGTCTAGCAAAGGAAAGAAGGGCAGAGGGCCTGATGAGCCTAAGCGTCAAGTGGTTCTCCCAGGCAAAAGAAAAATCGTCGGAGTTGAGGACAAGACTGACGAGGATTACGATCAGTTGGATGGGCAACCCCCTTTCACGGTGACGATTGACCCTAGCATCCTCCTATCAAATGAAGACACCCCTTACTCACGCAGCGATCACAAGGAGGGAACAATAGTGAGGAGAAAGTACGTGCGGTCAACCGTCACCGCCGATGTAATGCCGTAATTATTGTGTACACGATGTAAACTATTTTGGATGTATTGATTATCCATATAAATCAATTGATGTATGGCATATGTTAATTACGCACGATTATTAGAGGTTTCAACAAGTTCAAATCATGTATATGCTAGTTATATGTGATACTTACAATTTTTAAAAGTTTTAAATCACACAGGTGGCAATTTCATATGTACGTTAATTAGAGTTTTTAACATTTAATTTACTAACATTCATATGCTAATTATAATTGACTAGAGGATTTTTAAAAGTTTTAAATCACGCAAGTGGCAATTTTATATGTTAATTAGAGTTTTTAACATTTAATTTACTATCATTCATATGCTAATTATAATTGACTGGAGAATTTTTAAAAGTATTAAATTTAATATATTTTTAAAACTATCATTCATATATTAGAGTTTTTCACAATTTAATTTACTATCTTTCATATGCTACTTATATATGACTATTCGAATTTTTAAAAGGTTTAAATCATGCATGTGGCATTTACATATGTTAATTAGAGTTTTTAGCATTTAATTTAATATAATTCCTACGCTAAGTATATATGATGATTACAATTTTTATTAATTTTAAATCATGCAGTATGTACATACATATCTTAATTAGAGTTTTTACCAATATAATAATATCATTCATATATATGCTAAGTATATATATATATATTGGAATTTTTATTAATTATAAGTCATATATTTGCTTATTACGATTTATCCACTTAATTTATTACAGACAAAAATAATTTTTCGAAGTAATTGTCATTAATCTTTAGTACTTTAAATAATGTTAATGCATTAACTTCTATTTTATAAACACATATGTAAGCGAAAATCATATGCAGTGCTATAATCTTTAGTCCCGGTTCTTAACCCTAACCGGGTTTAAAAAGAATTTCGAAATAGCGGGAAAAGATATTTACTCCCGGTTGTTAAGAACAACCGGGACTAAAGATATCTTTAGTCCCGGTTGTTCTCAACAACCGGGAGTAAATATCTTTTCTTTACTCCCGGTTGTTCTCAACAACCGGGACTAAAAGATATCTTTAGTCCCGGTTGTTGAGAACAACCGGGAGTAAAGATCCGGGGGTATATATATTCCCGGTGCGCCCTCGTCTTCTTCACCAACACTTAGACGTTTTCGGCCGATCGATCTCTCTCGGCCTCTCTCCTTCGCCGCCACTGCCTAGGGCAAATCCCCGCGCCGACGCCGCCGTATCTCGCCGTCGTCTCGAGCTCGTCGTCCTCGCCGCCGCCTCCGCCTCCTCCGCTGCCGCCGCATCTCTGGGGTGAGAGCCGCCGCCGCCAGATCTCCCTTTATCTCTCGATCTCTCCGATCTCAGCTCGATCTCTCTCCGTCTCTCTCCGTCGCCGCCGCCACGCCACGCCGCCGCCGCCACGGCCCCGCAACGCCACGCCGCCGCCGCCGCCGTCGCCACGCCACCGTCGCCACGCCGTCACCACGCCGCCGCCGTCGCCACGCCGCCGTCGCCACGCCGTCGCCACGCCGCCGCCGTCGCCACGCCGCCGCCGTCGCCGCGGCGCCAACCGCCGCCCCGATGCCGCCACGGCCCCGCAACGCCACGCCGCCGCCGCCGCCGTCGCCACGCCACCGTCGCCACGCCGTCACCACGCCGCCGCCTTCGCCACGCCGCCGTCGCCACGCCGTCGCCACGCCGCCGCCGTCGCCGTCGCCGTCGCCACGCCGCCGCCGTCGCCACGCCGCCGCCGTCGCCACGGCGCCAACCGCCGCCCCGATGCCGCCACACCGCCATTAACGAACGAGAACGAGAACGATCGAACGAACGAGAAGCGAGAACGAACACGTCAACGTACGTTGCCGTGAGAACGTGAACGAGAACGAGAACGATCGAACGAACGAGAGCGAGAACGAACACGTCAATGTATGTTGCCGCGAGAACGTGAACGAGAACGAGAACGATCGAACGAACGAGAGCGATAACGAGAACGATCGAACGAAGACAAGTGAGAACGAGGGAACGAACGTGAACGAGCTAGGGAACGTGAACGAGCGAACGAACGAGGACGAACGTTAACGTGAAATGCAATATATATATATATATATGTATATATATATATATGTATATATATATATATGTATATGTTACTTCGCATTTGACTATATACATCTTTTTGTATCTTGCAGAAAAGACGTGTTGTCGGAGTCGTCCGTCAAGCCTGAGTGGAAGAGCTAGCCCTAGAAGGAATTGGAGCAGGCAAGTGACGTAATAATATAAATGATTGTTATATTTGTAATGCAATTAATTAAGATTATTAGACCTGTAATTAGACTTATCATATAAGATTGTGTAGTGTTCTAATATTATTTGAGTTTTAATATAAGATTACTTTATTTGTAATTAGACTTAGTATGTAATTATTGACTACGGAAGTGGTGCGACAAGTAGCAATTGACTATTGTAGTCTTAATTAGACTTAGCATATACGCACGAAACACTTAGCATACATGACTATTTTAGTCTTAGCATGTAATATTATTTGAATATATATATAAGATTACTTTATTTGTAATTAGACTTAGTATATAATTATTGACTACGGAAGTGGTGCGACAAGTAGCAATTGACTATTGTAGTCTTAATTACACTTAGCATATACGCACGAAACACTTAGCATACATGACTATTTTAGTCTTAGCATGTAATATTATTTGAGTTTTAATATAATATTACTTTATTTGAGATTAGACTTAGTATATAATTATTTACTACGGAAATGGTGCGACAAGTAGCAATTGACTATTGTTGTCTTAATTAGACTTAGCATATATGCACGAAACACTTAGCATACATGACTATTTTAGTCTTAGCATGTAATATTATTTGAGTTTTAATATAAGATTACTTTATTTGTAATTAGACTTAGTATATAATTATTTACTAGCTAGGGTTGTATAATATACGTCACCTAGACTTAGCTTATATCACGATTTGTAATTAGACTTAGCACGTAAGTTTGTGTAGGGTTCTAATGTACGACATTTACACTTAGCATACATGACTTAGATTGTTAAAACATAAATGTCTCGTGACTTAGCAGATGTTTCTTGTATCAACAGATGGCTGACCGCGATGAGGAACAGATATTGTACGATACAATCGCGGAGGGAAGCAGCCAGTACTGGAATGAAGAAGAGGGGAACGAGGATCCAAACCAGTACTTGAACGAGGAAGGGAACGTGGAGAGGGATGCGGAGGGGAACCAGCAGGGGCACGTGGAAAGGGATGTGGAGGGGAACCAGGAGGAGGAGGCTAGTGGTAGTCAACCCTCCGTTGGACAGAAGAGGGCACGCGGGCAACGAGGTGCAGCGAAGAAGCTTGAGGGTCGGCACATCATAACGGAAGTGGAAGAAGATGGACGTCCTAGTGCCCCGGCCGAAGCCGCCAAGAACTATGTACGTCACAGCGGTTGGGTTGTGCGGGATAACGTGCCTGTCAGTACGGTGTACTGGCGAAGAACAAGGGCACGAGGAGATCATGAGAGCTTTGTCCCAGATTCGGAGAAAGAGATGCTGTGGACCACAATGCTCGAGACATTCACCCTTCCTGCGGGTACAGAGGACAAAGTGAAGAGGTGGACTCTGAAGAAAATGGCAGAACAGTTTCAGAGCTTCAAGGGAGATCTGTACAAGAAGTATATACTGAAGGGGCAGACACCGAACTTCGACACATTCCCAAAGCTAAGGGATCACTGGGACGAGTTCGTTGCATATAAGACAGGTGAACAAGGGCAGGCGATGATGGAAAGAAACAAAGAAAATGCCGCCAAGAAGAAGTACCATCACCACTTGGGGTCAGGAGGCTATAGCGTCGCGATGCCGAAGTGGGAGGAGATGGAGGCTAGCTTGATTGAGAGGGGTATCGAACCGGCAACAGCCAATTGGCCGGAACGATCGAAGTTCTGGTACTATGCTCACGGTGGAACGCTCAACCCAGCTGATGGCTCACTGGTATTCGGCGTTCAGATACGAGAGGCTGCGCAACGACTAACAGATGCAGTGGAAGCCTCCTCTCAGGGCACGTTCCGACCCGACAGAGATAGGGACGAGCTGACACTCGCCCTGCAGACTCCAGAGCATCCAGGACGAACACGAGGGAAAGGGGTGATTCCTTGGAAGATTGGTTTCAAGGAGGACATCCACACGTATAGGAGTCGGATGAGGAGCAAGAGAGATACCGAGGCGAAGATTGCAGACCTAGAGTTCCGGGTATCGAGCTACGAACTCAACATGCAAGAGGAGGTGGCAAGGAAGGTTGATGAACGCATGGCCGCACATCGGTCCCATGATCCCCAGCCGACCATTCCTCCTGCAATGGTGAGCCCGTCAGGAAACCGTAGCAGCTGCGCCTCAACGGGGCAGGTAGGATCGCAGAGCATGGACGCCATGCAAACACAGGACGAATCGACCTGTCCCGTTGATGACATCACTCAGCGGACACCATGTGAGCTGCATATTCCTTTCAAGAACTTATCAATAAAGGTAAGATTTAGCCATTCCGCTAGTTCCTGCTTATATATGTTGATTACTAATAAATAATCTCTCACAACATGAAGGTGGCGTCGGGCATGGCCATCCCAACGGACCCTTCAGGTACTTACCACTGCAGGCCGATTCCAGCAGGATACTCGAAGGTCGAAGTTGAGTTGGTCGAAGGCGCGTACGAGGACCTCGAGCTGGATTACCCTGGAGGAGACGGTGAGACGCATCTACGAGACACAAGCCATGCCATTATTCTATGGCGCAGGCGGTACATCATCCTCCCTGGGCGACAAGCGGCGTCTCGTGCACCATCTCCTCCGGCTCCGCCATCTCCTCCTCATGATTCTGCACCGTCTCCTCCTCATGCTCCGCCAGCACCGTCTCCACCTCAGGCTCCAGCATCGACTCCTCCTCAGGATCCTGCACCGACTCCTCCTCGTGCTCCTACACCTACTCCCCCGCAAGCTCCTCTTCCGGCACCTTCAAAGTCAAGGGCCCCCCCAGCTGCACCGCCTGCCCACACAAGGGCAACGAAGAAGGCGAAAGTTGACGCCGCCAAGAACAAGGACCCGGGGTACGATTGCACGCAAGAGGAGCTTGACGCTTACGTTGCATCAGAAGTCAAGAGACAATTCAAGCCTCGAAGTCCAGAAAAGAAGATTCCTATAGACCCCAGTGTCAGGAACTTCTTCAGGGGTATGTCTGCATCTGTCAAGGAGGCCATCAAGCTATCGGACTATGAGCGAACGCTGAAGAAAGCATCTTCTGGAAAGTCCAAACCAGTCCCTCAGCTTGGAGAGCAACCAAAACAGGAGATCGAGCCGTTGGTTACCGGTAAAGAAATGACGATAGAACAATTTATTACTGACACCGGTCTAACTACGGATCAATTGCTAGGAGTCGCACCAATCGAAAAGGCGGAAGTGAAATACATGTACGAACTCGGTAAACCGCTTGTCAAGCCTGAGCTGCTGCAGTCCCTACCCACACAAATGTACAAGTTCCATCAGCTGTACATGGAGATGAGCGCCGCCGGTAGAGAGATGATCGGAGCGAGGATCAGGGACACGGACTTCTTGCAAGGAGATGACATTCTCTGGATCAATTTCAAGGGAATCTACGAACTATACCAGCTGGACGCCCTCGACGTCTCTATTATGAGTTGCTGGATTTTGTAAGTATATCGTTCGGTTAGATTTCTTACTATACGTCTCCTTTAATAAATTAGGTCCTTGTATATAAGTAGACTATAGAAAATAATATACTCCCTTTTATCGTTGTAGAATGGAGATTCAAAGGGCCCGACGGCGGAGGGTTTTCGATACTGGATTCATCGACCCTCGGAGAGTAAACGTCGCAATGCTCGACCAATATCCACAAGAAACAGAGGACAATCTCGTCCATCTCCTGAAGGCGCAGCATTACAAGACGTTCATACTGTTGCCATACAACACAGAGTTAGTTTAATTTTACTGTCTTCCTACATACCAAATTTCATTCCCGTACGAACTTTCTAAGTGTTTCATATGTAATGCATCCCACGCACATTGCAGATTCCACTGGGTGCTTTTACTCTTCGACCTGGAGGCCTGCACCGTCAACGTATATGACTCAATGGATAAAAAAGAGTCTACGTTTGACAAGGTTTTCGAACTTATAGACAGGTACCGTCATAAGTTCCTTTGTTAATTAAGAAAATCTTGTTATGTTAATTGCTACTACGAATCATATCTTTAAACTCCATGTAGGGCTTGGTATCGGTTCCGTCATTTGGTCCGCGGCAAATGGAGAGAAAGACTTAGGCGGAAGTTCAAATTTCCTGTGAGTACACATGCTCTATATTTATATTTCTCCGATTCAAATACATACAAGTGTATATTAATTAGATCTCTCGTTGTTTGTCATTTATTTGTAGTGCGCAAAGCAAAAGCAGGGAAATAACTTGTGCGGCTATTACGTGTGCGAGTATTGCCACTGCCTTGCAAACCAAATCATCACCACAAGAGAGCTCGATGTACGTACAAATAAATTCAAAATTTCATTACGTAGCGATTTCTTGTTTAATTACTAATCAATTTCATACATTCATATAGTTTATTCGCATGAGGGATAACCTGACCACACACAAGGAATTTATCACGGCGGTTCAAGAACAACTCATGGGATTCATCAACGAAGAAATCCTTAATCCCAAGGGTGAATTCTACTACGACGGAAACACAATTCACCGGTCCTTAGCTTCTGAGCTAGCAACGAGTACTACTACGTCGAAATGATAGCTAGCTAGCTAGGACATATAATGGATTGTAATTAATACATGACTACATATGTTTCTATATGCATGTGTACATATTTTCTATAATGTAAATATATTTTGGTCATATATATATATCTATATACATATGCATTAATTTGCATAACATATATATGTGTATAAATACATATATATTATGCATGTATATACATATAATATAATATAATATATATATATATATATACATATATATATATGTATGCATATATATGTATTGAAACATATATATGCATGGTTTATATATATATATATATATAAACTATATATATATATAAACCATGCAGCAACAGGGCCATGCAAAAAAAAAAATGGTCAGCTCGATCTTTAGTCCCGGTTGGTGTTACCAACCGGGACTAAAGATCGATCTTTACTCCCGGTTATTTCACCCGGGACTAAAGATAGCGATCTTTAGTCCCGGATTGGTACTCCCGGTTTGGAAACCGGGACTAAAGGGGGGTTACGAACCGGGACTACAAAGGGTTTCTCCACCAGTGTAACTCCAATTCATCTGTAGCCAATCTAATAGGTCATTCATACAATAATTGCATACTACACTATTAATGCCTGGTCCCACCTGTCATAGACACACTGCGTCTTAGAATCTGTGCTACAGCTGGCTATAAATCTATAGCTCGCTGCTCTTCTCTCTCCTCATTTATCTTTTTAAAATATGTTTGCAGCTAGCTTATAGCCTGCTATTGTACCTACTCTTATAGGTGACTATTATATGAATCGGCTATTTTAAATTAACTATAGATGATTTGGAGCCGGTAGTTAGCTATACTATTAAACTTGCTCTCAATAGAACTTACCTCGATCTCACTAATGCTCTCAAATTATGCCCGGACAACTTTAAATATAAACAATCATATTATGTTTCAACAATCATGATTTGAGACTACACTTATAAAGTTTATATGGGATGAAACAAGGGGTAATAAAAGTGTAGCCTGGGAGCAAGAGCCATTGAGGTGGATTTGTGCTCAAATTGTTGAATTATTGAAGTGAAATGGGAGTAGTAGGTATCTAGTGAGTGATTATTTGATGGTTTATTTCAGCATTAAGTCAGTATCAATACTTAGTTAGTATGTAGTAATAAGCAATCAATATCAGGAATAAAGCAGATTAATTTCAGTTTTTTATGAGACAACAGTTAATGAGAGGAATGGACCATGCATTAATAGCTTTTTTGTTGTATCCATGGCTGATATATAAGAGCAAGTTCAATAGTATAGCCACCTACTAGCTCCAATTCATATATAGCCAATCTAATAGCTCATTCATACAATAGTTACATACTACACTATTAATACATGGTCCCACCTGTCATACACACACTGTGTCTTGTAGTCTGTGCTACAGCTGGCTACAAATCTGTAGCCCGCTGCCCCTCCTCTCTTCTCATTTATCTTCTTAAAATATATTTGTAGCTGGTTTATAGCCTGCTATTGTACCTGCTCTAAGAAGCTCAATGATATAAAGGTTGACATTCTCGACGATGTGGCCACATATAATCACAGCTAATGAGGATATTTATGTAGGAAGAGTATATTAGCTCAGTTGGGTTTTTTTTAATCACGTACCCGCCCGACTTTTAGTCTCCAACTTAATAAGGGTGCTCTTATTAATTTTTATTCTGATTTAATATAGGTGTTCGTATATATGGTTAATATTTTAGTGGTATTTAATTTAATTTTTTAAAGGTGTTCATAAGTAAGAGCGTGTATGTATGTGTTTGTTCTCTGTGTTTCGAAAAAAATTTCAGGTGATCTGCCCAAGATTTCAACGATGCCTAAACCGTATGGATACATTGACAAGACAAGTGTGCGCTCAAGAGGACTAATACTTGACCACCTTTTGCTATATTAATAATTAATTAACAAACGTGATTAAGCCACATTTCGATCAATAGCCTAGGGTGTTCTTGAAGTGCGCAATGACCAGGATGAGGAGAGCAATCCTTAACTGATTCCTTCTAGAAAAGACTCCCCATAGTTTCGATCAAACGACACGAGGTGTGGTCCGGGAAGTTTCTTCTGTGCCTTTCTTTTCATTTATATTTTTCTAACTCAATTGCAAAAGGCAACCATTTGACCATTTAGCTCCAGCCACGGCGTCCTGAAGATCAGACCGCTTTGGTACGTACAACATCTTTTTTCCCTATTTTGTGCATGAAAATTATCGGGTAAAAACTAATAATAATAATTCAGTACGTGTCATGAAAGACTCTGAAATCATAGTATTTTGAGAAGATATTGAAAAGGTTACTGTAAGTAGAGGAGGCGCTGTTATACAACTGTCTGAAAACTCAATTTAGCCTTGTTTTTCTCTTTTTTTTTCTTTTTCTGAGGAGGCTTCAATTTAGTTTTTCAGATACGAAATTTGCAAACAGTTGAAAGAATAGGAGTATAACAGTACTCAAACTTCAACCTAGAGTTGTTTAGCGTTGTACATTACACTTGTTGTAAATTACATTTATTTCAAATGATATCAAACTAGATACTGAAAATCTATATATTTGTATGCAAACATCTTCCCTACATTGGTAATTTTGGAACTGTTTATAACTTCTAATTAAACAATAATTGTGAAGGTAGCGAAGACACCAACAGTTTGGATATATGGATAATACCGTCAAATGGCCTTTCACTTAGAGGACTTTTACGGTACATTCTACTTAAAGTATATACTTACAGTATATGAAAGGGTAGATTTGGTATTTGTTAAAAATCTAAAAAGGATTGTTTAGCCATTTTTAATTGAGATCATTTTTTTCCATCGGTGGTATTTTTTCGGATGTCGTCGTCCGTACGTGATACCAATCCAGTCTACCTCGTACGTGGTACGTCGGGTCGCCGGCAGCCGTACGTTGTCTCGCGTGTGGCTCCCACAGTCCCACAAGCGCCGCCCAGCAGCTGTCGTACGCAATGATGCCGTCGCCGCCGCCGCCGATCGCCGGAAGCGATACAGCCTCCGCCGGGAGCAAAGCCAACATATTGCCATTCTCGTGCGCAGCACTATTGCCGCCGTCGGGCCCAGCAGCAGCCGTCCGCTTCCAGAAACTTGCTTCCGTCAGTCTCTCTAGCGATATAAGTTCTTGAGTGTTAAAAGCCTGAGCCTGTGATAATATATAACTACTGCATATTTGCATCAGACTTGTTTATGATTCAGGCTTCATCCGCTTCAATAACAATGGATACAAGCAATAATTAAGTTAATTAACAAGTCTAATTCTCTACAAACACTTGTGAATCGGTACATATGTTTTTTTATAAAATTCTTCTTCACTTTTTTAAAATTGCTGTTGTCGCATGCCGCCGCGGGGCTTCCCTGCCCTGCTGCTGCTGCATGCCGCACTGCTGCTTCGGCCACCTGCCGGCTGCCGCTGCCCGGCTGCCTTTGCCGATGCGAGCTGCCGCAGCTGCCCGCCAGCAGCGGCTGCTTTGACTGGACGCCTATCGACCGGATCTAACTGAGCAAATGCGAATTTATAAAATTACCCCCTACGCAAATAGATAAAAAGACAAATATACCCTATTCAATTTTATACTGCAGGATAATTAAGAAGAAGATCAGATTAATTTACACCGTTAGATCAAATATAATGGCAGTATATACTTGCAGTACAATGTACGTAAAAATCCTCTTCACTTATACCTGCACAAGAATTCAACGATCAAACAATCGGTTCATGATCTGCAATATTTGGACAAGAATAAATGATCTCTATCAACAATGTTCGTGCATCCTTTCTTTCTTGGAAGAAAGGCTTAAGGGGGATTTTACTCTACATATGCACAGGGTAAAGGTGTCAAAAAAACTACTTTGGCAATCATGGATTGATTCTCTTATGTAACCTCTTGTTTTTTCTTTTCTTTCTGTTGTACGTATCGTTCTGTAATCTGTAAATTGTTAATAGTAGTATACTAGTATAGTGCAGTAGAAATCAAAAAAAAAAATCGGTGTGTTTTTTGTTTAAAAAAAAATCGGTTCATGCTGTGGTAACGGTATCAAATCACATAAATAGTTATGCTTAGCAATTTCGGTTTTGATCGATTGATTGTTGAAATGGTACTGCTTATTTGTATATCAGAACTAATTCACTCTGATATCACATCTCTGTTATATATACATATGGAGAAGTATAGTAATTTTGAGGAGATATTGATGCTTCATTTGAGGCTGTTTTACCCACAGAAAGGTATTCCTGAGTTTATCTGTTCTTTTGTACAAAATGAATTTCCAAGTTATTGTGTCAACACATATATAATTGAAGTGTCAACACATATATAAACGTATATGCGTGCAATCATGCATAGGGCTGGTGGCAAGTTATTATAATTGAAGTGCAAACAAAAATTGAGAATTCAGGAGTACTTCTACAAGTCAATTGTGCAAAAACCTGATGTGAACGTAGGAGTTGTCTGAAACTCTGAATGAATATTGCCCTTTCTGCTCAGCAGAGGCCAAAGGCAAGTGACCGAGACACTGAAGCAAGAATGATACTACGCACTTGTGTAATACATAAAAAAAATTATACAAATACTTAGAAAATATTCACTCAATTTTTACTCAAAAGGACTTCTGTAAGGACTTCTAATCAGCAAAGTTCTACTCTGAACATTTCTTTAGTCAAACTATGCTTTATATTTTGATTGAAGGAGCAGTAGCCACATAGGAGTTCCTGAAACGCACGCTACTTGGGATATATCATCATCCTATATAAAAAATTGAAGAGATTTATTATTCACAATTGATGATGCCATCTTCAGATAGAAACAAGAGTACCCGCACGGGATAACTTGTACCAATATTATCTATCCATTTTTCTACTCACAAATTAAAAGCACTGTGTTCAGAAACCACAGGTGTCACAGGCAATCAAACCAAGAACATAGAAAATCAGGCGCCCACATGATTCCCCCAATTGCCAGCAGATGCTGCAGAAGATTCCAAACACATCTGTCTCTACTTTTATCTCCTTTTCCTCTCCACTAGTATTTTATTTTTTTGCAATATTTTTCACACTCCAAAACCCCATCATTTTTCAGCTATAAATGGCCCCCTCCTCCAAGCTTCAATTCCCTTTTCCCCTCTTCCCCAGCTCCTTTGTTAGGTTTTCTTCCAGTGAGCTCTTTTTGCTCATATTCAGATCTTCACTTATTTCCTAGTTGTTACTACTGCCTTTGAGTATTGACAGCTTCATCCTGCCAACTCAGCTCAATCTTCCTCTGAAGTTTCAGTCTTTGTTTCTGAATCTCTTCAGTGTTCAGAGGGGAAGTTCTGCCAAAAAATTTCTCTGGCCATCCATTTTCCAAGGGGAGATTCTGCCAAAATTTTCATCTCTGTCCATCAATATTCCTGGGGAGGTTCTGCCAAAATTTTCTCTGAAATCGGTTAATTTATAAGGGGAGGTTCTGCCGAAATTTTCGCTGGTCATCAATCTTCCCTTTGTTGACATACCCTGCATAAGTATATACAACAAACATATAACTTTTTGCAAGGTAAGAAGGAGTTTTTATCTGTTCTTGATGATAGACTCCTAGAGAAGTTGTCCTAGTTGTGTAGATGTTGTTGCTCATCATCCCTGAGCACCTCCTCTCTAGATTTATGACTGGCCCAGCCATAACCCAGCTTGTTCAGTCCTTCTCTGTTGTCTTCCTCTACTGGTTCTATGTCTTCTCAGTAAGCTCCCTGTAGTTGTAGCCTTTTGAAATTACAAGACTTATTTATACAACATAATTATCAAGGCATCCACATATAAACTACAAGGTATATATATATATATATATATATATTTACAAAAAGAAAAGGAATAAGAGGGAGTAAAATTGTTGCCGGTGCGAAAAAAAAAATTGTTGAGAGGTGACCATGTCGAGTGGGACCTCGTCCGGGTCGAGCCAGGGAACCCGGAGCTCCAGGTCGGAAGATGACCTGAACCTCCAGGCCCAGATGGAGAAGAAGAGGAAGAGGAGGAAGGAGTCGAACCGAGAGTCGGCTCGGAGGTCTAGGATGAGGAAGCAACAGCACCTCGACGAACTCACCTCGCAGGTTTATATATATGCTCTGCTTATAATATATATATATATGTGCACAAAAGTCTAAAGTTTGTGATGCATACATAGATCTAGTTTATTGTTTTTGCTGTCATAATTGTTTTACTTTATTTTATCTTTATATGATAGCTTGCACTCATGTGCAGGTAGAAAGCAAAAAACAGATGAAAACAGAAGTGCCACTTGAAATATCTGCCAAAACCAACTCAATAATTGTGCTGCCTTTTTCAAAAGGCCCCATCATCTGTTTCCTACCTAATTCGTTCAATAACACTAGAAAACAATTCATCATCATGATCTTCCTTGTCATAAATTGAGCACTCACCAAACTAGCATCACAACCCTGCATCAAAAATCAGGAACAGAAGTCTAAACACATATCACTAAGAAAATATTATGTGTCACTGAACAGGTGAACCAGCTGAAGAATCAGAACCAGCAGCTGAGCATGGCACTGAGCCTGACCACACAGAACCTTGTGGCAGTGCAGGCACAGAACTCAGTGCTGCAAACCCAGGAGTTGGAGCTGCAGAGCAGGCTGTGTGCCCTAACTGACATCCTGATGTGCATGAACAACACCAGTGCTACTCCTACTCCTACAATTCCAGCCACCACTACAAGTGCTTGTGATATTTTTGGTGCCAGCTCATGGAACCAGCCACCCATAGACTTGTACCAGTACCAGTGCTTCTGATCTAGGAATAAGAAGAGGGTTGTTGTGGTAGTGTGGGTAGGACCAGAAGCCATCAAGTAATGTTTCAATCATGTAGGGCCATTGTTGTCACTGTTAATGTATGCAATTCAATCTTAATTGCCTGCTGTAGGGGACAGGGATATTTGCTCTTTCTTGTAGCTGTTGGTGGTAGAGGGATTACCAGATGGCAAAATGGTGCTTTGGCAATGTGTTAGGTGGGGCTGGTTTTGGTTGTTAAGGGTAGGGAGGAGAAAATTGGTAGGTTTTTCTTGAGCATGCAAGAGGGGAGGCAAAGGATTTTGTGTAATGATGCTCTTCAAGGAAAGTATTCATAATTATGATTATAATGTAATATGTGGATTTGGTGGATCTTCATAGGCCAAGTGCTTCTTTGTGCTCCATATGTGTGTGTGGTTATCTGAAAATAGATTATATGATTAACATCTCTATTTATTTTGAGTATTGGTTCAAAAAGGGTAGAATGCCATTTTGACATAGTTTTTCTTTTACCTATTATTTGCTTCTTACTCACTCCAGTGTCAAAATTATTGACGTTTTAGCTACCGAAGCAAAGTATGCTAATTCTTGACATTTTGGTTTTGCTTGTGCATCTTGAATCTGCTTGCCACTGCATGCATGTACGCAGACCATGTCCAAAACATCAAAAATTTCGAAACTGGAGGGGGTATTTCTTTTACACAAGTGTCAACATACATGACGAAAGCTGCAGTCGTGACATATGTAAAACCACCTTTTTGTTTTTTCATGTGACCTAGATATTTCGTCAACTTTTCTTCACTTATTTCTCAAGGCCCTCTATATTGAAAGCTTGAGTTTTACCCTTAATTGTGGACTTCATCTAGCACTTCAGATTTAGCAGAGCCATGGAAGCATTTATCACCTTTTGAAGGTGTTATGTCCAAGTCTGAACATTTAGATACAGCTCAAAGGGCATTTTAATTTGTATAGCATCAATATGTCTGGAGGACATGTGAAATATTTTCTCCTTACTGATTTGTCTAATGAAAAATCTAGTATTTCAGACAAACCTTGCTTACTGAAGAACCAAAATGAAAATCCAACACAGCACCAACCTTGGGAAGAAAAGATCTAGAAGATGCGTAAGAGGTGAAGAAAAGAAGGTTGATAGCTATATGTCTTGGTACGTACTGTAGAACAGTGGGAGCACTTATCAACTTTTTCCAAAGTGCGATTTCACAATGAACCAATCATCCTTTATTTCGAAAACGAGGAAGACACTGTTGTGCTTTGCCAAAAGCTATGTGCTCCCACATGCTCCAATTCCATATAACAACTTTTGCAATTCTCTGGCTTCAGCAGGAAAAAAAATTCATTTCTCTGCATAAACACCTCTTGGATGCATCCTTTCTTTCAGAATTTTGAGCTAGACAAGGAGAGAAACACAAGATCTCTACCAAAATCCATAGAGCCTAATCCTGAAGTGCACCTAATTGGATGACAGATATCCTCTACAGTAAAGCTGATTTAATTGAATCGAGCTCTCATATATACAGAGCTGAGCTATCCTGCTGAAAGGATGGTGAGGGTGAATTTTCAGAGAAATTGGTACAAGAATAGATAAAGGCATAACTGCCCAATTGTCGCTGTTGGAATATGTTGGCATGTGACTTCACGAAATGGAGACATCAGCATCAGACATGGAAATAGTAACCAACAGGTCATGGCAAATTCCATGGTGCCATTGAGTCTGAACTTACTTCTGCACTAAGTAAAATTTGGTAGGGAAATCCAAATTTGAGAAATTCTGATCAAGAAAGAATGGACAAAGAAGCAGTACTCCAAAATTCAATAGAAGCTGCAATTTGTGTCTAATTCTGACTATTTCTCATATTTACACTAGATGTATCACAGGTACAAGCTGAAATTGCAGCTGGTAGTGGCCAATCAAAGAACAAACTAATAGAGAAGTAACCAAAATTGCTGAGAAGTTTCATCCCAATCGTTTGATCGATCGATCGATCGATCAATCATGCCATCTTATGAGCATCGCAACGCATCGGCGGATGATGTAGAGCCTTGCCTTCTGCTCCTTGAGAGCCCTCTTGAGGCCCTTGAGCTTCATGTCTTGAGCACCCATCCTCATCTTCATGATCTGGAGAGATGTGATTCACTGAAAGAGATGAGACAGGCTTTGCTTGTTGGATTTGGAAGTACAAACTTTTGTTTGAGTTTGGAGATAGCAATGGTACATGGTTTATATAGGCCGTTTGTCATGTGGGCTGTGTCAGCAGCTGAAGTGTTTTTTACTCTGCTTATGCATATCTGAGTAATTAACTTGTAACTGGTTTCATGCTTTGAATAAACAAAAGATAGTTTATGTGATCTTGAATCAACTTACTTAAATTTCCTGAGGCTTGGTTGACTTGATAATAAAAAAAATTCATTGATCACGTAATGGCATCATTTGCTCTGCACGATGGATTAACATAAATAAATACACAATATGTATGGTTGAGCTATGAAAAGGTTATCCTACTGGTACTGGACGGTGATGCCACATTGTGAGTCACTCTAGGAGTTCGTGTGTTGTGTCTTGTAATTCAATAGTTATTGCGGAATTTCTTGAAGATGACAGCGCAAGATGGTTTTTAGTCAACTTTTAGGTTTGACAAAAAAATATTTTCCCAGTGAAATGCCAAGTATTCTCTCTTTATCATTCAGTATTTCCTTTTTCAGATGAAGGAAGCTTTATTAAAATCAAGATAATTACATCAAGGAGCTACTTCCGGCTTCTGTATAATATTATTCTTTTGCAGACTTTTGTTAGTAAGTCTACTCATTTTTTTGACCACTACTCGTAATCGAAACAATCAAATTTCACCCAATAGAACCGTTATAACCTTCAAGGCAGAGGTGGAATAAACTCGCCCTTGCTCGCTCTACCTCGGTTTAAAATTCCTCCAAGTCTACACATCTATCTATTATATACTAAAAGTCCATTAATCTTCCTACAAGCGCTCTCAAGCCGTCACGTGACACTTCTACAAACGCTTCTAGACCGCCATGTGGCAATGCCTAATCTCATCGTCGATTTTCACTTAAATCGGTGGACCCGATAATTTAGACGATTAGATTAGATTAGATGTATTTTATTTAAATAGAAACTACTATGTTAATGTTGGCCGAAAAAAAACATAAGAATTCCAAAGTATACGTACGACTAAAAATCAATAAAACTCTAATATTGTTCATCGGTTCGCTGGCAAAATAAATATAAGTACCTAAGAATGGGAAAAGAGCAGTAAAGCTTATGCTGCTCACCTACGATTCGTTAGGAAGGAAAAAATATGCCAGCGTATTTAGAAAAAAAAATTAAAGCCACGAGTAAAATAAAGCCAAAAAATATACGTATGTAGTACCATCCAAACAAATCGAAAATATAATTTTCTACATAAAAGATAAAATAAAAATATGTTATTCCACAAATATACATCAACTAGACATCATAAAAAATATAAAGTATCAAATTAACGTTATGTAAAAAGTCACATTTTATTTTTCTTTAAATTATATTCCTTTAAAAAACATACGTCTGTAGTACTATTGAAAACAATCGATGGTATTTAAAGATATATTTTTCTATTATTTAAAGATAAAATATATTATTCTATAATTTAAGCAAATATCATCATAATTTTTATTTAAATTGATGAATCCAATATTTTAGACCATTAAATTAGGTATATTTTATTTAAGAAACTAATATCATACTCTGTCTATATAGACGGGAGTAAATGTTGGCAAAAAAAAGAAAAAAAAACTGTCCATTGGAAGAAAGAGAAAAAAAATCTACATACGGACTTACTATAAAAAAATAGAACCAAAAAAAATATGTAGCGATGACCTTTTGAAATAGTGCTTTCTCTTATTATTTAAAGATAAATATATTACTCTATAAATTTTGTAAATATATATAAGTAGTTAAACTAGATTTATATTATAAATATGAAATATCCAATCAATGATCTTTAAAAGTTTTATCTGAACATACGAGGCTGATGTATATAGTAATTAATGCTATGATAATTTTTTTATTTCATATCATATTTTAGGGTGTCAAGTATCATTTAACGATATACAACGCTAATTTAAAACTACATACGTAAAAATTAAACAACACAATTTAGTTGTTTTATTTTACATCATTGGATTAGATTTATTATTTAAAAATAATATATTTCTCCTATACATGAATACATGAGAAATATAGAACTGTTAGACCGGAAACCGTACGTACATATGATTGGAAAAAAACAATAATGGTCATGTATCGTTTCCCGGAAGAACAGTAAACCATATGCGCGTACTTATGATAAAGCCAAAAAATCGACAGTCAGAAAATAAAATTTTATACAATTTAAAGATAAAATATAATAATATTAAAATTTACACAAATATAAATATAAAATATCCAATCAATGCTTTTTAAGTTTTTTATCTTTTATGTTATTTTAAAATTATATATCCAATTTGTGATCATGTTGTATTACTTTAAATAAAAAACAATTAATGTCTATAACCCTAAATACATCACAACATATGGAGCCGATATGCAATAATTATTGTTATGATAATAATTTCACATTATATTTTAGGTGTAAAAAACACTTTTTGAATATGCAACACTAGGTGTTGAAAACAGATACTGAACTAACATGCACTTCACTATAGATATTTATCAAAATATAGTATGGTACTTTGGAGATTATCGTGGTAGTATTTAAAAAAATCACTTTGTCCCGGTTACATGTAAATTCTTCTATTGTTTTGGGATAAAATTTAATTCCTTCTATTTATGTGATGGAGGGAGTATAAGTAATATAAGTTTATCTTTGATTAGATGAAGGAGTACCATTAGCTATATTTTTAATAGAAAATATCTTTCATTAATATATAATAAAAACTAAAATGTTACTTAAAGTCATCTATAGCTTACAAAATAGAAAATATTATATACATAATACAAATAGATATGAACCAACTCCATTATTATGACAGACTTTTTGTTTGAAGTAAATATGCCCAAACCAGTTATTAACGAACACATATTTAAAATAGTGTAAGAAATATTTTAAAAAATATCATCCATATTTATTCGTAACAAAAATTCAAACAACATTAAACAACATGCCCGCGCATACGCGCGGGCTATCTTTCTAGTTCTTCTTTAATATTTAAAAGTAGTCAGTTTTGAACAAAAGTTGATTTCACACTGGTAGAGAAACCATCTTTGGTCGGTCGACTCAAATCCACAATAGTCCCGGTTCCATTAAAAACCGGGATTTTTAGTCCCGGTTTATAAGAGAAAGATCTTTAGTACCGGTTGTTGTTACCAACCGGGACTAAAAATCATCTTTAGTCCCGGTTGGTAACTCCAACCGGGACTAAAGTTCATCTTTAGTCCCGGTTGATTCCATGTCAGACCGTATCAGGGTACTAAGATCTTTAGTCCCGGTTTGTAACACCAACCGGGACTAAAAACCTATTTTTAGTTCCGGTTGATGTTACTAACCGGGAATAAAAATAAAAAACACACTATATAATCCCTATTACCGATCCTCTTTTCCCATCCACACAACAAACTCCTCCCTCTCTCTTTCTCCCTCTCCAACTTCTTTATCTCTTCCTTATCTCTAACTCCTACCTTCTCTTTCTTTTTTTTCCTTCCATTAGTCACAGCAAAGCAGACGGCGGCCGGCGAGGGGGCGCGGGGGGCCGGTGCGGCGGCGGCCGGCGCGGAGGCGCGGGGAGCCTCGCGGCAGCGGCGGCACGGGGGGCCGCGCGGAGGCGGCCTGCGCGGCGGCACGGGGGACCGCGCGGCGGCGGGCGAGGGGCCGCTCGGCGGCGGCGCGGGGGACCGCGCGGCGGCGGGCGAGGGGCCGCTCGGCGGCGGCTGGGGCGGCGGCGCGTGGGGCCGCTCGGCGGCGGCCGTCGCGGAGGGGAGGAGGGGAGGCGGCAGTGGCCGGCCGGCCGGCTTTTCTTTTTTTTCTTTTTTTCTTTTTTACGATTTATCCTGTGATGTATTTGATTTGTGTGTGATGCGGATCTGTGATGTATTTTTTAGAACTTGTGATGTAATTTTTTAAAAGTTTGTGATGTATTTGGAGATGATCTATTTGAGAATTTAGAGATGTTCTGTGATATGTGAGAATTTGGATTTGGGATTTCTTGGCATGATTAGGGGATGGTGTGAAATCAGTATTCAATACTAAAACAATGAAAAAGAGAAAAAAAAAGAAAAAATATCTTTAGTCCCGGTTGTTGTTACTAACCGGAACTAAAAATCGATTTTTAGTCCCAGCGGGACTAAAGATAGCGATCTTTAGTCCCGGATTCGTAGTCCCGGTTGGAAAACCGAGACTACAGGGAGGTTACGAACCGGGACTAAAAAGCATTTCTCCACCAGTGTCACTCTATCTCAGAGATGGCTCTTTCGCCCTTTAAAGTTGTTCCTAGCTGCAAAGGATATGGTAATAAATATTTTTCCAACAAAAGTTCAAAAAAGTGAGGAACCATCTCATATTCTACCCATGAAAAAATAAGCAAATACTGAGCCTTACAAACAACCAGGGACCATTGTCACACAAAACTACTGAATTTCATGGAAAAATCACTAGTTAAATTTTGAAGATGTCACATGATGCCAAATTTTAATATTTCTTACCTTTTGTGTTACAAACTCAAATTTTTTAAAACTTTTCATTGGAAGCAAACTCCAAGTCCCTAACGGTTGATGGTCTTTTCCAGGTGAATATGAATGTTGACCAGACATCAGTAGTAGAGAGAGAGAAATGTGACTAAGGGATAGTGAGAAAAGATCTAAGAAATCCACGTTTTTAGACAAGAAGAAGAAATATCAGAATTTCAATGTCTGCTGGAAAAAGAAATTTAATTATTTGCCTTTTCATTATTCCAGGGTTATATGCATATTGTTTTCCTTTTTCCGCACCAACGGACCTGCATCGCGAATAAATAGCTCACGTATGCAGCCAATATTAAGATTAATTTTTTATATTATATGAAAGGTGTACACACGCACATACCACTATGCATGCACACCCCCACACACACCCTCACGGGAGACGCACACCACGTCACCACCCATTGGTGAATGCATCCCCTAACACTCTCAAAGAGACGGAGATTAACAACAAATCTCTAGCCTCATTAAATTCCTATCGAA